TAATAGTAAGAATTTAGAGTTTGCAGGATAACCACTGGCCGTCATCTCCAAACGAGCTTGATCTTTTTGTTGTTTATGGCACACTTTCAGGGAGAGTTTCATGTATTAATGGTTACCCGGTGTTTGGATTACATTGCAATAATCCTCCTATTAATAGGAAATTGTGCTGTACGTGGAAAGTTAAATTGAAAGGTTCATTTACTTCTGGGTCTTCATTATTAATTTGAGAATTGCACTGGTGGTATTAGTATAGATTTCTATTCACAATTTAATTTTATGCACCCATTGTGTGCTGATTTGTTAGTTGACTTTGAGGCACAAAATTAATGCCAATAAATAAAGAGATATGAATTGGTTTTTGAGCAACAATTGTAATTCATTTCTGTTCACCTAATGTCGCGTTGCAGCTTACCACCTTATGCTTATGGCAAAAAATTCATTTAAAATAAACTTTAGTTCTGTTATATTCACATTTTAGAGGCATTCAGAAGTTTTGAACCTTGATGCATCTGTTAACACTCACCTGGGCCTTGAACCCTGCTCCTCACAACTGTCTCCCTGATTTTGACCCATGGGTCATTGTATTTAAGACTTAGCTTTTTTGATTTAGGTCTGCATTGTAACTGGGCTTTCAAACTTGACAGTTGACCAAATATTTTAGTGAGCTTTGGATAAAATAATTGTCTCAGGTAATGTTGCTTAAATTCTACATGGCATATGTTTCTGTGCTGGGAAAGATAATTTTTCAAAGAAAACTTCTGTTCCATCTGGACAACAACTTGTGTGTATCATATTACAACAGTTCATATTCCAGACCACTAAATCTCCAAAAGCATTCCACGTGAGAAAATGTGGTCAATAGAGTAGTTGGAGGAAGGGGAAATGGTTGCAGAGAGTCCTTACAATGTATGCTTTGAGAGACTTAACGACGGTTAGGAGCCAGTTACATTATTCAGAGAGGCTGAAGGCAAGAGTTTCAACGTGCTGATTGAGTGACTTAAAGTCATTAATTATATTATATATGCAAATTATAGTTTGGAGTTGGACAGTTTGTAATGTACACTGAAGGCCAGTTCCATGACTTAGGTTTTTTTAAGCCTGGTATCTAGGTGTACTGGTCATGCTAAATACTCCTCAAATGGTGTGTACTTTATAGGTTCATTAGACTTGACTAAACATTTGGTAGATGGTACTGTAAGCCTCCTTGTCTATTATGTGTCTTTTAAAGACTTGATTTTATACTGGGAAATGTCATCAAACTTTCACAGGAAGTTCATGCATAATCCTGATTTTTTTGAAAAAACTGCATACATTATGTTGGATGTTGGAGTGCTGGGCAAATTAACATGTAATTTTAATAAAGTCTTCATTCTGGGATTGGCTAGAATACGTGATTCTTACGATAATATGCCTGTATGCCACTTACACCTAAGCATACTTCTGAGGACGAAGGCTCAGGCCCAGGTTCAGGTACCCTCACTTGAGAGGTGTGAACTAATGTAATTGAACAGGTTGATTAAAAATGATCTATCATTTGCACCTTTCTACTTCGTGTTTTGCATTAAAAGCCCATTAGTCTAGTGTAAATATCTGAAATGATTAAAGAATGCATAGAAGATGACCTAATTTAAAAGCCATCAGGCAGTACTTAAGTTGTTGCCTTGGCTCCATCATGTATGTTTTCAGTAGTAATTCACAGTTGCTATGGACAATGGATGTATGCATTGCGTTCTGGTGATTATGAAAACATAGAGGAGTAACTGAGTATCAGTTTGGAAGTAATCATCAAAGGAATGCTGAGTAGTTTGGAGAAACATTAGAATTATGAAGACTTGTGTAAGCATTAGAGAAAACAGTTATATAGATCCATACAGACATTAGAATATCCCACCTACTAGCCTCATCCCGCCCCCTTGACCTGTCCGTCCTCCCTGGACTGACTTATCCCCTCCCTAACTCCCCACTTACACTCACCTTTACTGGCTTCACCCCCGCCTCTTTGACCTGTCTGTCTCCTCTCCACCTATCTTCTCCTTTATCCATCTTCTATCTGCCTCCCCCTCTCTCCCTATTTATTTCAGAATCCCCTTCCCCTCCCCATTTCTGAAGAAGGGTCTAGGCCTGAAACATCAGCTTTCCTGCTTCTCTGATGCTGCTTGGCCTGCTGTGTTCATCCAGCTCTACACCTTGTTATCTCAGATTCTCCAGCATCGGTAGTTCCTACTATCTCTGAGACATTAGAATGTGTTTGGTTTTAATTTTTTTTCTAATTAAGCTGTTCAGAGATTGTAATACACAACTCTGAAGCAAGTGGGATTTGAACCCAGTTCTCCTGGCTCCGAGATAAAGCCACTACAACTGCGCCACAAGAACACAATGTATTTGCTAATTGGAAACCATAATGTAAATCAGCTGATTCCTTATTGCCATACACATCCACCATTTGACTATTACAATACCCCTTTTGTTGGACTGTCATTTCCAAACCTTTCCCAAGCATCCTTTTCAGTCTCATTTGTCCTCTTCTCCATAACGTTCTACTTCAACCTCTCCACTTCTGTCCAATCTTAATCCATCTCTAAAGATTTTTCTTTTGCCAAGCTTTTACCATATTCCTGGTCTGTTTCTTCCTAGTTTGTGCCTTTGGGAATTTTCTGTTTAAATTAAACATGATGTGGTTTGAAGCTGTTGATTAAAGTTAAGCAATTTAAATAGGAATAGCACAGCTGACATTTATTCATTTAAACTGTAAGTATTTTAAATTAATTGACTTTGAATTAAGGGGAGAATAAGGATAAATGGTTGTGGTGCATTGACACATCCATAGTTTGCTGCTCCTTCATGTTGGATGGCAACAACTTTATTTTCCATAATTCAACCCTCCTGAATTATTTAAATATGTTTATTAAATTTTTTGAAAAAATTTTTTTGACTATCCCAAATGTGAAGTTTGGAAAGATCTGAGTATTTTGCTGGATGAGGCCAGAGATGAGTCATGGAGTAATACAGCGTAGAAACAGGCTCTTCAGCCCACCATGTCTATGGCAATCAATGAACTCCACTCTACACTAATCCCGTTTACCTGCGTTTGGACCACAGCCTACTGTGCTCTGTTTTTAAGTACTCATCCAGATACTGCTTAAATGTTGTGACGTTACCTGCCTCCTCCACAGTCTCAGGCAGCATGTTCCATATATCAACTACCCCCAGATGAATTTTTTATTCTGAGATCTTTAAACCACATGCTCACCACCTTAAAATGTGTGCCCTTTGGCCCTAGACATGTCTGTCATGGGGAAGAGGTTCTCGCAATCTACTTTGTGCGCAATCTACTTTGTGCCTCATAATTTTGTGTACCTCAAATTAGATCCCCCGCCTTCTCCTCTCCAGGGAAAACAAACCCAGCCAATCCACTGTCTCCTCATAACTGAGGTTTTTTTTTTAAACCCGCATCATGTCCTGGTGAATCTCCTCTGCACCCTGTCCAGTGCAATCACGTCCTTTCAATAATGTTTTATAAAATTGTACCAACACTTGCTTCTACATTCTGCGCCCTGGCTAAAGAAGGCAAGCATCCCATGTGCTGCCTCTTCCACTGTCTATCTGTATTGACACCTTTAGAGATCTATGGACTTTTGCACCAAGGTCCTGTTGTTCCTCGGTACCCCATAGAAACCTCCCATTCCTTGTGTATGTCCTTCCCTTGTTAGCCCTCCTAAAATATATTTTTCGCACTTACTTAGGTTAAATTCCATCTGCTATTACTGCTGGTCAATATCAGACTGTAGCTAAGACCTTCCTGCTCATAATCAACAGCACCAATTTTCGTGTCATCTGCAAACTTACTCATTACATTTGCCGCATGCACATCCAAGTCATTAATGTACATAAATAGCAAGGGTCCCAGCAACGATCCCTGTGGCAGACTGCTGTCATAGGCTTCCAATCATGAACGCAACCCTCCACTATCAACGCTTGTCTCCTATTTGCAAGCTAACTTTGGATCCAGTTTGCTAACTTTCCATTGGGCCCTATGGACTCTCACCTTTTGGGCCAATCTTTCATGTGGGACCTTGGCAAAGGCCTTACTGAAGTCCATGTAAACCACATCAACTGCACTCCCTCAGCAATATATTTAGATACCTTTTCAAAAAACTCAATTTAGTTAGTTGGATAGACTCTCCCTCTAACAAATCCGTGCTGACTATCTTTGATCAATCCCTGACTTGCCAAGTATTGATTAATCCTGCTTTCAGAATTTTTTCAATAATTTCGCTACCACTGACATCAAAGTAACTGGTCTGTAATTACCTGACCTCTCCCTGCTCCCTGCATCTTGAACAAAGGAACTGCATTAGCTATCCTCCAGTCATCTGGCATTTCACCTGTAGCCAGCAAAGTATTAAATATATGTTGTTCGAAAGGTGCCAAGAACTTGCTTTCAGATATGCATTGCTGTAAAGGCACTTTTTAATCGCTCGATACTAATGAGATTCCTCTTATATAAGCAAAAATTCAAAACTCCCGATGCTACTGGTTACAGGATATCTTTAGTAACGATAATCAAAAGTAGTTCAGTATGCATATACCCAAATAAATGATTTCATTTTAGAAATCTGTAACACTCTAAAAGATGATGTGAAAGATATTGCACTTTTCTCTCATGGAAATCTATGGCCTCACAGTTCCTCTGTTTCACTTCATGCAGTTGATTGCTTGCTATTTACTACCAGAATCTCAATTTGTCCATGTTGTAAAGCAGTCCCCTCACTCCAGTATGATAGTGGTTAATCTTGGTTAAATTTTGGTGGTCGTAGGTTGCCTGGAAGTTATAAGGTTTCTTCCACCCATAATTGTAGTTTTAAAAGATAATAGTTTGTAATCCCCACTCACTTACGCATTTTTCCCATGAAAATGTTGTTCGCAAGAAAGATTTTACAAATTTTGTTTTTTTTTCCTTAAATCTTCTGCTTATTAATAAATGCTCTTTCTTTCAACAGGCCAGATATAAGCAAAGCCTGGATCCAACAGTGGATGAAGTTAAAAAACTTTGCACGTCCCTGAGACGCAATGCTAAAGAAGAGCGTGTGCTTTTCCATTACAATGGACATGGAGTGCCAAGACCGACAGTGAATGGCGAAATCTGGGTGTTCAATAAGGTAACCAATATTTTTGTATAGTTTATCACACTTGTATTGAATGCTAGTAATATCATAGAATCCCTACATTGTGGAAGCGGGCCATTTGGCCCATCGACTCTGCACTGACCCTCTGAAGAGCATCTCACTCACACCCACCTGTAACTCTGCATTTCCCATGGCTCATCCATTAGAACTGTCTGTCTGGGAGGAAGCTAACGTGTGTGATTTCTGCAATGAGGCATTCACACTTCTGGAACATCTGCAAATCCACATGGAGACAAACCCTTGCAGTGTGACATGTACCAGAATTGTTTCACGTACTCTTCCTTGTTTTGGCCACGTGCTGACAACTCAACACAAACTTGGAGGCAGGTCACCTGCTTCCACTGATCTGAGATTTGTTTACCCTCCAGAGCTTACACAGGAGAACTGATATTATAAAGCAATGTTTGTCCCAGCAATGTTTGTCCCAGCAATGTTTGTCCCAG